TGTATATATGTATGTATCTGTATGTATATACATATGTGCATGTGTGTATATATATATGTATATCCCCGTAATTACCGGTGCATTCAGAGTGGTTAGTCGCTTACAATGACCTTGTGCTTTCATTTTCCCATCTCTTTGAGAAAGCACGTGCAAGGCGCCCGAGCACCATCGGTCTCTCGGCTTGCTCGCAAAGCGAAGCAAACCGCTGCAAAGTGCCGCCTCAGCCGTCAACAAAGTGACGCCTACATCAGACAGACGTACATACCTCGCGTATCCTCCCGTCCATGCATGCATGCATACATACATACATGCCTACGATCTCAGACCGTCTTCCGAATCCGAACCATTCCGCTTTTCTCCCCATCTGAGAGGAAGAGAGTATCGGCATATGGGGAGCGGAGATTTATTTGGACTCGACCGCACAGGAAGGCAAGAGACTTCGGAGCGAGACAAACAGTCGAATGAAGTGCCTAGTGAGGCAATAACCACTCCATATCCCAATTGGTTTAAAACGGCATGGAACCTGGATGGAAACAATCGAAACACCTAAGCACCTGGCGCAATGAGGTAAAGATGCCTCATCAAGTCTGCCTTGCAAGCTTAAGCCGGAGGAGTTGTGACAAGTATGCATTTCAGGAGCTGCTGCACAAGCTTGTCAAATTCTCTAATTAGTGGGAACGAAGCATCCTTTTTATCGCGCTCGGCCTTGGTCTCTTGCTTCATCTCCTGCATCCAGAAACATCGCGTGTCCTGCAAAGGGCTGTGGCTTCTAAACATCATGAAGCAGGCGCGGGACTCACACTTCAGAATCTCCACACAAGTCGGAACTTCTGAGCGTTGGCCTTCCCAGGATGATCTAGAGGTAGTGGCATTGGCAGGATCTGTGTCCTCGGCGTTTTGCGTATGGTTTTCATTCTCGATTGTGACAGAGACCTGTTCTGATGTGGGTCGTTCTGCAGACTTCAGCTGTGCACCTTTGGTATGATCTGGGAACGGAAATCGCAAAGTGTCTGCGCAGACCCTGGCTGCAAGAAGACAAGGCCGTCCCTGAGGCGCCAGCAGTAGTCGCGCTATCAATGCAAATCTGGTCAATGCCTCGGCATGGATCCCATCGCCCAGAATCCTTTCCAGAAGAGAGTACACAAATTCCTAGTTCTGGAAACAAGCCAAACCACAACAGCAAAGCGACTGGTTCATGCTTCCAAAACATCTGCATTCGCAAAGGGTGCTGCAGAATTCGGAAGCCCCAAAATTTTTTGACGGCGCAGTCCCCAATAGCAATGAATGGGCTGCAGTCTCAGGAATCACTTGCCTTGCTGCATGGAGTTTAGCGGGACATGGTGAAAGCTGGGGCATCTTATGACTTATATCTTATGATTGTGTTTTGGGGGATTTTCCGTTGTGGGGGCTTCCTTGACATCGTAAGGTCGTAAGGATTCAATCGTAAGGGCACACAGCGCATTCTACATCATTGCCGGGAATGCGAAGCATCCCTTCATCTGGCCATGGATTTGAAACAAATGTTGTGTTCTGAGATGCCAGCTGATTGCGACATGTGCTCCGACTGATTGCAGAGCAGGGTCAGCCTGGCTCCGGAGTGAGCAAGGGGAATTTCGAGGGCCCTGGCCCTAGACTCTGGATTCTCTAGATCGATACTGACCACCTGCTGCGAGTAGCGGAAACCAGGTCAAGAAATTGCGAATGCCCTCGTTGCAAGTCCTCATGGCCTCTTGGCAGCAAACCTGCTTCCCCAAGACTTTAAGGCAAGACGAAACAGCAAACCCGAAAGCTGGCAAGGCTGGGGAACCTTCCAGCACTTCCGCTGGACGGCAAATTGTAGCTTCCAGTGACTGGAGTGAGAGCGAAACAACTTGCAAAGACCCTTCGGCACTACTTGTCGATCCAACCCGGGAACATCAGGCCCTGCGCCCTGCATCCTCAAGTGCAGCGATGCGGCAGGTGTGATGCCAAACGGCAGCAGTCAGAAGCTTCAAAAGGATTGCGCACCGCCTTTGTTGTGGACTCAATTGGCTTGGCTCGAACAGACAAGTTCACTGGCCCATCTTTAGAGGACACTGCTCGCGCATTGCTACTGGACCACCCCCCACTGTAAGCTAACTACTGCTGGGCTGCAGGGTCGTCCCTCTCGTCTCAAGTCACTACGGTACCTCCAGACTCCGGACAGCTGAGTCGACCCTGGATTAATTCAGGGGCCGGGTCCGAAACGCGACATTGCCGCAGCACCGGGATGCATCCAGAACAGGAACTCGCCATGATATCCTGTCGCCTCTACCCTCGTAGACTCTGCAGCACATTGGGCAATACCACCTCGGGTTCGTAGCTGGATTAGAGCAGTCGCCCGAGGCCCCCGCCACGGGCAGCTCGCTGGTAGGAACTGAAACGGAAACACGAGGAGGATCCACCTCCACCGGTCCATCTGTTGCGGTTCTCAGACCAATGGGAAGCCGCCCTTGGCAACCTGGGACCTACTCTATCCGGAGATGCTCCGAGTTATGCATGCCTAGGCTGCCTGACCGGAAGCTCCAGCAACGCAGGCCTGCCCTTTGAGGTGTTCGACATCCTCCTCCTGAACTGCCAGCAACACTTCCGTTTGGGCTGTTGGCCTTTCCACCCTCGACTAAGCATGACGACGTGGCCCCGTTTGGAGGAAGAGGCAGAAATTGGAATTCTGAAGCTGAAGCCTCACGTGCAACAAGACCCTCACTTCAAGCTGCAAAGCACAAGCCTGCGATCGATATTGCAAGACGACGGGAGCTGGAGGAGGCGACACTGGTTTGCGAACCTGTATGTGCACCCATGCTAGTAGCAGCCGTGAGCCTTTGATAGACGGCAAACCCTTTCCGAAGCATCGAGCAAGCACCGATTACTAGAGACTTCAGCCATCGCTTGTGGTGCGACTCCATGTACCAGTACAAAGGCTCACGAAGCTGAATGCAACAAAACATGCGAGGGCAAGGGCGACTGGAGTGGAAGAATGCCGCATGCTGAGGTATATGAGACAGCCATGACATGATGCAAGGGTGTCCAGCAGCCGCTCGAAATCGTTGAACAGCAGCTCATGCGCAGGCCGCCCGCCTTCTTGACTCAACAATGCACTGCATCTCAGGATGTCTCTAGCCAGGGAGCCATTGCAGCACACTGGTAGAGCTCAAGTGATCACTGTAAACTGCACGTGCGCATGACGCCAGTTTCGCACCTGAGACCACCTCAATTGGGCAGGCTGGTGGTAAAACCTCAGCCGACTTTTCGCCCGAGAACTCCGATCACTGCGAAGCAAACGCTTCGGATTTGTTTGCAACCCCCTGGCCCGAAGGCCAATTTTATGGGGCACAGACTTGTGTAAAGCCGCACAAGCAAACACCCGTCAAACAGCTCTCAACTTGTCAACTCTGTTGCACGTGGGGCATCGGGACTCCTCTGGCTACGTTGCCGTGCCGGACCGAATTTCATCCCGCAAAACAGGCCACACAACCCACAGTACAACTCCCGCTCTTTCTTTCGGCAGGGTTATGGACAAGGGGGAATCCCCAGTACAACTCCCGCTCTCTCTCTCTCTCTCTCTCCCTCTCTCTCTGCCTCCCCTTCTCACACACGTGCAGGCATACTCACTCCAGTAAACTTTCTCATGACCACAGAGAACAAAGTTACAAGTTCTCTAGACCTCGTCGGATAGGGCTTGGTTAACAGTTTACACCTAGTTTCGACCGCTTGTTATCTATGCAGATGTCCAAGGGAGGATTCAAAGGCACAAAACCCGTTTAGTGACAACCGGTGCACGCCCCCGACGATCCGGTCTTCAGGCGAAGGCTGTACGAGCATCGCGCTCGGAACTCTCTCGCTTCCAACACTCGTCCTGGGAAGCAAAATCAATACGAGGAGAGAGTGCGCTGCTGGCTAGTGTCGAACTGTTCTTCGGGCGCATCGCCCTCCGTAAACAGCGTCCAACTTTTCTACAGCACCTGCAGTGGAAGCAAACATCTCAGGTTGGACCAGAAGAACTCTAGAAGGAGTTCGCTGCTGCCAGCTCCAAGCACCCACATGACACCCAAATCTGGCCTGGACTCTTTGGACCAGCTGACGTACAGCATCCAACTCCCAGCTGCGAAACTTCTCGCCAAACCTGGCAGTTTCGATACCTCTGACCCACAAACGAAAGTAAGGTCCGACCTGTGACAGCTACGAAAGTTCCTCTCATGCTCTTGTTGGTTCCTCTGGAAGCAAGCAACATGTCGGAAGTTCCGGTCGACCTGAGTGCCGCATGCGAGCGAGGAATCGAGTGGAAAAGCAGAAAGCATCAAGCAGCTTCTCCTACAGCATGAACCTCCCTCAACTGATTGAACACAGCTGCCTGGTACATCAGCAGCACCAGGTGTTTGATGGTTTCATGGGACGGCTAGCCAGTATGTCTGCAAAGAGCCTCTGCCTGTGTACTCATACGATGCTTTAACACGCCCACACAAAGGTGCAAACTGCTGCACTAATTTCGGGAGAATAGGAGGCAACAATCGCAACAGTCATACAAACAACCCAAAATTACATGGTCATAAGAAATCAAAAGTCGCAATCTTCTTGGCTCGAAGCATGGCATGCAGCCGCACCTGCCATGGCAGCCCGATGTACAGGCTTACGGTTTGCACAAAATGCACAATGCCAGCTCGAGAACTCCAGAGAAAATCGAGCGAGACCTCTGTACACCATCACGGACAAGGTGCTTTGAGGTCTGGAGAACACCCGACCTCAATCACTGACGACCTCGCTCAACTTCCCCGCCCTTGCAATAACACAGCCGCACTATCCGCCCAGCTCGCCAAGCTTAGGTGCGCAGACTTACCAGCTGCCAGAGGCTCGAGACAGGGCAAATGATGAAATTGAAATGGTTATTCAACCTTCATGCTGTAAGATGCAAGTATGTTTGGAGTGCCACGAATCCGGATGTGCTGTCTGTCCCGTTCTGTCCGAACCCTTGGAGCAAGGACGCCAGGTTCTCGGGCCACGGAAACGGTGGCGCATCGAACCATGGCAAGCTCCCCTGCCTGGAAGGTGTAAGCTTTCATGTGGAGGACATGAGCGCAGCTGCGTCGGGAAAAGACGTATCAAAACTCCCTCAAGAACAAGCCCTCGGGACTTCAGATCGGATAGTGTGATCCATGGCGGTGCACACCCGCACAGTTTCGAGAATGGTGGGTCCACTAGTTTCAGCTTCTGCGAGAATCGGAAGCCGAGTGGCCCCGAGGCAGGTCGCCGACGAGCCAAGCGCTCGGCTCATGGCGGAGAGGGCCTTGGTGCACTTGACGTGGTGCACTTTGCAACTGTTCTTTCAGCCCTCAAACCAGTCGACAGTCTTCTAGAGTGCTGGATCTCTCGGATGGAAGTCACAGAGAGGAGTCAGACTCACATCCGGTCTGGCATAAATCGCTCCGCAACGCTGGAAACCTGAAATTTCGGAGGTGTCCAAGAGGCTTCGCAAGCTAATGCAAGCTACGGTCCTTCATGAGAAGACTCGACTAATACATCCATTGACCACCTTCCTCAACGCAGCAAAAAACGAAATGCTACAAGCAGCTTCTCGAATATTCGTGAATACTCGAATCTCCTTTGGCGATTTTCACATTCACATGGCTCCGGCTGTGCTTTAGCTGTCTGCTCTCTGTGACGACTGGTTTTCTATGGCCCCGGCATAGCGCTGGCACTGCACCTTCATTCGCAAGCCCAAGGCCCTCTATGCTTGCAGATGAGCACCCAGTCACCCCCGACATGCAGTTTACTTTTATAACTTTTATAGATGCATGGAGAAGCCGCTCCCGGTGCTTCTATCGTTGCTCGCTGTCGTGCTGCTACTGCTACCTACCACTACTGTACCACAAACACCTGCTGCCTGTGCCCGTATGATGAAAACACAGGGTATACCACGGCTACGACATGCCATGAACAGCTAACTAGCCCGTTGTGTTGATGATGCTGTGACACTGCTATTGGTGATGGTCTTATTTCCAACGCAGTACGTAGATGACACCCCTGCCCAGGCGGCAGTTCGCACCTGGCTCCAGGCTGCGGTCTCCTCTGTGGCGCCGCAGGCCCGTAAGCAGAAGCGAACCTCGGCAGAAAGCGACGAGCCAGGCATGCCGACTTCGCGGTGCGAGGCTCACCGAGGGGAACGGAGGGGAGGCCGAGAACAAAACATGTCTCACATGCTTGCGCAGGGATTTTCACACATCGCGTATGCTAGAAAGGGATGATCCGACAGCCCTCGCGACTGGGCCACCAATGACCAACAGAACACATCAACATCAAAACATGGCAGAAGGCACTCTCAGCTGGAAGAAATAGCCATGTTCAGATTGCGACGGTCTTGGCAGGAGGCGTGCCGTATCGTCAGTGCCCCTGAAAATCTACGACTCTACGACGATACTTCTTCCCGGCAGGCGGATGCACGCATCCGCCGTTACTCCGCCGCGGTGTACCGGTTCCAACATCCCCATGTGAAGCCATATCGTGGGTTGGAACATCTACGACACCTACGACAAACCTTCGAAGCAGTCGACCTACGGCACTCTCTCACCTGTGCCCAGGAGAACCTGCAGATGCGTGTGGTTACCAAGCCTTGAATATTATTATCAGAAACAGATCAGCATACAAACGTTGATTTTCAACATACAGACACTTCTTGAGAGTCAATCAGAATTCACAACTTCAACTTGCAACCTGCTAGTGCCGAGGATGCTGCGGCCCGCAGCAAGCAAATCCTGGAGTGGACCGGCTCTCTCTCTCAGGGAAGGCCGGGCAGAGCCAGAATTCCAAACTCAGGAGTGCATCTGCATGGTTAAAGTCATTGCCAGCTGCTGCTCCTACCCTTAGACAGAGAAGGCTCAAGTACCGGAACAGCCGGAAAAGGACAATCACGCCGAGGGCTGTGCATGAACGATCCATCTCCGGCTACCGGCACCGGACAAAACTCTACCCAACCTGGCCGAGTGTGGTTGAGTGTTGTGCCGGCAGAGAATAGTTTGCATTGCTGGCTTGCAGAAGCAGTCTGGAGACTTGGTTGCCACTTCCAAAGGCTTCTGCTGCTCATGTTGCACTTAAACTCTCGGCCTGCGGCGAAACGGCACTCTACTGATCGGAGAAATAACAGAGAAGACGAGAGCAGACGCTCAGGGCACTTCGCATCTCTGAGTGCGGCCATCTCAGCCCGGGGCCACTGGGCTCGACACCAAAGTCTGCCGCCAGGGGCTGCTTCTTCAGCATCTGAAGGCGTTTTGGTTGCGAGCATGATTGAGCATGAACGGTGCAGCTCGGCTAGAACATTGCAGAAGCCCAGGACCCTGCTGGCAGCAGCGTGCTGTACAAAAGCTGCGGGCCGTTTGAAGTTTGTGGCCGCACCTCTGCCGGAAGCAGTTCGGCGCAATTTCAAGCAAGCAGCACTCACGAAGAACGCGAAATGGTTTGAATACCGAGTCACCCAAGCTTTCGATGTGGGGCTCTAGCTCTCGAGGACTGGAGACTTGCAGCAGGTAAATTTTCAAAAGCTCCCTCGTGGGATCGCAACTCGCTGCATAAGCAAACTCCTCGCTCGCAGGACTGCACATACAACTGGCTAAAGTCCCGGCTGTCCCCTCTCATCTATCGGAGGTTGCGCGAATTGAGGCAGTGACAAACTGCCGGAAGAGAAGATACCAAAACCTTCACAACTGCAACATTCAGTCCCGCTTATCAGCATGCTGGCATTCTGGGTGTGGTTCCCTGGTTCCTGCTGTCTAGAAAGGACAGGGAGTCGTCACTTCGAGCAGCCTGTGGAGTGCCCTGCAGTGCAGTGCCAGTACCAGGAAGAAAGAATGCTGTCAGCATGTCTATCAATGCAGCACTACCCATGATTCAACAAGCACTCAGCCCCCGGCGTTCCGCAGGTGATACGCTTGGCAGGAACATCTGTCAAGACCTGGCAATCGTTGCGAATCCTCAACCTCACCGTCCTGCTTAGACTGTTTAGGCACATAGGTCGTAACAACGGCTCTGCCCGACTGACTCCGTTTCTGCTGGATAACGCGAAACTGAGCCCGGTGTGCGAGGGGGCACTGCCGCGTGGCAAGCTCGGGACTCGGTGCCTCCCGGGAACTCTGCAGAGATTCGGCGGAATTCCTTATTCGGCTTCCTTCTTCATGACGTCGAGAGTAGCATTACAGGCTGTGGCATCAGAGACAGCCGCCTCTCCGCTGGCACGGAGTGGATGGTACCTCGGCCGGAACGAGCCGGAAACGAAAAGACATAGCCATTCCGTGGTCGTGCCGAAAGCTGGCAGAAGATGAAACATGATGAAATCACAAGAACGACTGCCTGAGCCAGGGCCCGGGCTGCAAGCCGTCGCCGGTGTTAACGACAGCAACAGTGAAGTTCTCGTCGGTGAGGTGCCGGACCTGGACAGAACATTAGCAGTTGGATGGGAATCGGGTGTTGCATCGCTGTCCATGCACTGCTGCACCAATGTTTCACGATGCAGATTCTTTGAAGGCTTCTTGAACACCCGACGAGCTCGACAGGATACTCCGAATCCTATGGGTCTATCACCCTTCAATGCCTATATTAACTCGGCATGGCTCCTCAAAGCTCGTGGGACATGCCGACTAAAAAATTCCACCTCCATCCTCGGAAGATCTACGGACCGATGCCGGGCCGAAAGGCCACCCAACACCAAAACCCACCGGACAAGGGTCCCGGCAAGGATGAGGAGCATGCAGTGTCCGCCATCTTCAGCCTCTGCCTGGAGCGGCTTTTCTTAGCAAATCCCAGTGACAAGGTGAGTGTTCTCGTGCGGTTCCTTGTGGCGTCTTGTTGGCGCACGGTGAACCGCATGGTCAGAGCCAGCAGAAATACATTGCATCTAAGCAACAGTAATAGACACATACATGTACCTATAATGTATGCTCTCTCTATCTCTCTATCTATCTGTCTATCTATCTATATATCGACCTACCTATCTTATCATACATATACACCCACCTGGTACATGTCTCTCTCTCTCTCTCTCTATATATATATATATATTAATATTATATATGTATATATACATACACATATGTATGCGCATATTTTGGCTCCCACTTGGCAACGTCCGCGGACACTGCATCATATATATATATATACACATATGTTTGTAGGTGTGCATGTACGTATGTATGTATGTATGTATGTATGCATGTATGTATGTATGTGCGTGCATACACATATACAGAGCCCCTATGTGTAGCTGCCTTCTCAGCCCACGAGGAGCGCTTTCGCCATCCTGTGGGCCTCAGCATCGCTTGAGTTCTTGGCTCCTGCCTTCGAAACCGGAGTCGGGAGAACATCCTCAAGGCTTTGGATACTTTGAAAGTACCGTGTCCTATTTCCCACTTCTCTACGGGATGGGTGTGTGTGTGTGTGCGTGTCAACACGAAACACCCTCAACTCTGTGCCAAACAAATGCTGGTAATCGCGTGCGGGCATGTGAAGCGTAGGAAATTCGCTGTTGCCAGGCTGTCGCTGTTCTGCTGCTTGAGGCTACTGCACCCAGGCCAAACCGCCTGGAGGCAGCTCCTGCCAGTAAGGCTGGCGAGCACTTGTGGCGGCATGTTGGAAGCTCCCCTCAAAACTTCGTCGAAAGTCGGAAGCCTTGAGCTGCGCGGCCAGGTGCACCAAGAGGGGCACCATCCTCCGAGTTCGAGGCGGCAAGCCGGGTAGCATCAGCATTGAAATTACTTTCTCATCTCCATCTTCCCGAAACCGCTGTCCCCACGAAAATTCTCAGCTCCCCACTTTTTCTGCACCTCCCGCGGGTCCTAGCATGCACTCGCGGAGGATCAGGGGTTCGAGTGCGCTTCCAAACCAAGCTTCACTCAAGCGGCAGGGCCCCATCCAGCTCTAAGTTTCGACTTGCACCACCGGGGAACGACACGGGCGCTGTCGAAGATGCGGCTGCTGATTTGAGCTGCATCACAAAAGCTGTTGAAGATAGCTTCCCATCGCGATGCTATGGAATCCGCTCAGGCAGTGTTGGTCCTTTTGACAAGCAAGACCTTCGGGAATCACGAGCAGGAGAAGACGATTTAGTGGCCCGAAGACACCCCGACACAGAGCCCCACGGAACCCTCTCTTTTTGCACTTCCGGGCGAATTCTCCATGTCTGCACAAAAGTGCCCGCCGACAGGCACCAATTGGTAGATAAACAGAGCAAGCAGTCAGTCACGCTTTCGACATTTAAGATTTCTCGAGTGCCCACTGCCGCCGACCATCATCGGGGCATAATTCCTGTCAAGCTTAAACTTTAAACACACCTTGGCCGAAAGAGCTTCATGGCGCAGGATACCCCCCAAACTAGTTATGACATGTCGGACAGCCCTGACGTGAAGACTGCAACAACACTCGCGATTCACGAGTTCTTCTTGTCACCCTTCATGTCTGCCACCTTGATGCGCATCGAACTAGGAAAAGAAGGTCCCCGAATGTCCCGACTCTCTCTGGATTGGATTTCATCGTTGGCACAATCAGGCTGTCACATCGAACTGGGCTGTCTACTTTCTCCATGAAGATCCACATGGACCGTGCTGCAAGGTCGCCTTGCTGGACTTGCAGCACCCACAGCATGCGAGAAGGCACCTTTGCGTCCAGCTTCGAGGTTGGAGGGCCTAAGACCTCAAGTTTTCTGCATACCTCGAGTCCGTCAAATCAGAAACCACTCAAGTAGCTAAGTCAGCGAGTGGGCCTAAAAAACCCACGACCCTCATGCTGCGGACCCTGCCTTGCGAGCAGCACGAGAAGCATCAGCGCCAGCAAGATCAAAGGCCTCGGCCATGTCCCGGCAAAACGGCTTTGCCTGGAACAGCGGGGCTTCATGTATCACACGGACCGTGCCGATGTTGCTCCAGAGTCCACAGCGGAATGGATTGCATCTGACAAAGATGGAAAAAGATCCAAGACCCAAGGCAGCCCACAGACCTGCAATGCCAACCCCAGAGGGCCAGAGCCAGAAGCCGTATGCCCTAGTGCTTCTGCGGCAAAGCCTCGCCAGGAGTTGAGGCAACCAAACTTGTAGCGGATGTTCCGCATCAAACTTCAGCGTCTTCAGGAGCGCCCGGACGCCTCATCTCCAAACTCACCAGGGCCCCCTCGCACCCCAGCACCTCCTATTTTTGTGCAAAGATATCCCAGCGCCCCCTTTTGATCGTCGAAGACACTGCATTGAGAGGTGCGTGTAAGCATGACTTTGCCTCATCTCGCTTCTCGGACCCTTCGCTTAAGCCCGAGACCCTCGAACCCAGCTTTCCGAGCTCTGGTTTCTGATTGCTGCCAGAGCGCCAAACTTGTAGAGACCTCGCTTGGCAGTACTCTTGTTGGGTCTGGCTTCTGCAGGTTGTCGGAGACGGTCCGTTGTGTTTGGCTGCCGGCTTGCCAGGAGCACGGTGCATGAAGGGTTGGGGGTTGGCAAGATTGGTATGCTGTGAAGCTCGAAGATTTCTTCCACGGCAAAGATCTCTGCACGAGACCTTTGAAAATGGGGGCAGGATGCGTGTGAACCCAGGCCACAGTGTCATTGTCTTCATCCGCTTTAGTCTGATTCCTGATTCCGTCCACGATGCCAGCTGCACAGGTCAAGAAGACGAAAGTCCGACAGACTGTCCAAGCTCTGGGGCTGGCGCTGCGCAGGCAGTAGTAATTCCTGAAGAGGTACCCAACCTGGGCCGCAAATCTCATCCACCAGAAAGCCCACCAAACAAAGTGTTCGGATACACATCTGCCAACATTCAGGTACGTTCAAGGCACGGAACTATATCTTGTGGGCAACACTGGCAACTCTCTGGGCACCCCCGGAAGATGAAAGGGTCAGACAAGCAGCCGGCAGGACCATGGTGTCAAACGTTCGCATAAAGTCGAAAACATCATCATGATCCCAGCCCCACTGTCGGAACCGAGGCTGCCTCAGCTGTCGGTGGCAGATTGGTCTGTTCTCGGAAGGCGGCGAGAACATGTCACGGCCTCCACCGTGAGGGAAACAGTCTGTGTCCGTGTTGCAGAGGCTGATGCTCTCATTGCGCGGGTTGAGGAGCAAGTTGTGTAAAAGGCTGATGCTACAGGCATGCTCAAGACGTTCACAGCCCTTTGAACCGCTCTACGCCAAGTGCAATTGAGCTGCCCGTTTGCGAACAGCATGAGGCACGGGACAAGCTTCGCGTCAAAGTCATCCATAAGCGAATCGTCCCTCGGCGAAAGGGAAAGTGCGGTGCCCCACATGTGCACAGGGTGGCTGTGAGAGGGCACCAGTTACACATTCTACAACTTGCAACTTCACAAATTCAGAACTAGTTGGTGCTCGGAGATTGCCTTGCAAAGGCTGGATGTAGAGTCCGCCCAGTCTGTAACAGAAGACTTTGGGCGACACCAAACTTGTGACTAGCAAAACACAGCCGAGTTCTGCACGACTCTCATTAGTGGCCCAGGTGCGTCGCTCGACTCCTAGGCCTACTTCTGGCAACATTCACAGAATGCCCGACCTTGGCTGTATGCGTCTTGCCCAAGGGCTTGCCAAAGTAATCTCTATCGCTCTCTGTCTCCTTTCTCTTCTTTGTCAACACAGCCCAAGGGCCCAAACCCTCGCGCCCCTGAGCGAGTTCCTCTCTTGGGTTCTTGGTGCCAGAACAGTGACAAGAAGAAGCACGGGAAATGCCGTTACACCGACTGCCTTCCGTGCTGGAGTAATTTAGTAATTTGCCACTGAACCAACCAGGGGTCTGTGTAGCTGCAAGTCGGACGGTGGAGCCCAGCGCTTGCAGCTCCTTCGCTGCAAGCCTCGATTGAGGCTGCAGGACGCCACAACAAACGAACTGCGAACTCCTTTAACTGGGCCATACTTAGGAGCGGACATGTTGGGGACGAGATTTACATATAATTACCGGTAGAACTGTCGGCGTTGATGAGCATCGAGGCATCCATGCACTGTGCCTGAAAGCCTTCGGAACCCCAAGTAAAATTTATGTCTGCCCTCTGCAATGTTCAGCAAATCGAGTCGTGGATTTGAGCAGTAGTTGCAGCTCCTGCGCTTACACAACATCTTCCCCTTGAACCCTTCCCGCAAATCCAGCTCCCTATGCTCACGAAGGAAGCGGAAACCTCAGCGGCCCATGATCAACCACGCGGCTCGAAACCCGGCTTGAGTCTCTTACCTCGAGGAATGGACGATGTTGGGTCTTCAGTTGGGCATCTGGATTTCAAAACGGTTGCTCTGTTGATTGGGGTTTGTCGGGCGATGACTTCCTGACCCAGTGCAACTCCTTCCGACCAAGTCCATTTGCGAGCCGCTTTTCTGCTCATCGGCGCATTCTGAAGATCAATCTCTGATGTCTCTGCTTTCAACCGTCGATTTCGCTTATCTATCTATCTAGATTCTTACACCATGTTCAGAAGGAGTGCAAGGTCGATCATCAAGCTCCTCTCTCTGCCAGTCTTGTCCCCTGTGATTCGGTGGCGAAAACAAAACAGCAACAGGTTGCATGGCCTTCACGCATGCTGCGGGGATACAAGCCCATGGTCGGAGTCCTAATTGCTCTTCCCTCAAAAGCCGGCAAGTCGCAGTAGCCACACCATTCCTTGTAGAACTTGACCATGACAATCTGAGCAACCAGGAGAGATCTGATTGCAGCACGCTCAGCTGGTGCGACATTGCAGGGTGAAAGGGTGAAACAAGCGAATCGATACTTAAGAACAGCACGAAGCTAAGTAACCCCATCGCCGAGTCACGACTGATCCGGGGGTGAGGCTGTGCATGTCTGTATGTACATACACATACACATGCACACTCAAATACACATACATATACATGTGCATACATACATGTGTATGGCTACATGACTGAACACTTCCTCGGCACCGACACAGCGCTAGTTACACATGAACCTGCCTGCGGTATAAAGAAGCGGTGATGTATCGAGATTGAAGTGGTCTTGGACATATCGGCGACCGGGTCGACACAGCACTCCTAGAAACGCCTAGTGGCTAGCGGGGTGGTAGCCTGAATTCGAAGCTGTATCAACATGGTCTTCGGGCAGAAGTCAACCTCCAGACGTCATGTCAACACTCAGCTGTACCATGCTCCGCTGCTCGTGTCTAACACTGCAATCCGAACAGGCCCCTTTGCAAGCGCAACCGATGAAACTTAACCATGCAAGACGGAGTACTTCGTCCAACCCCAGAAGTTTGGGTGGTCGCCCAACCCATCTACCAAGCATCGGCCAAGGGTCCGGGTGCTTAGACAATAGCTCGTTCAAGTCTGCACCATCTTTGATCTGGACCACTGCATCACCCACATCCTGTTGTTTGCAACAGGTTGCGGGCTTCTGCCCGAGCTTGGTGAACTTCTGGCTTAAAGGCTTAAATAGTTTGCGGGACCAAGGGTCGCAGCCAAGGTTTCTTCAGCGTAGCGCTACGTGCTGTTCAAGCGTCACTCTCCAACGAACAAGCCGAAGAAAAGCAGAACACCACCCACAACCCCACACCAGATCTCTACAACGCTACCAGATTTAGTCTGACAAGCAAGGCTCAACAAGGACCTTCTGAACGATCACATGTCACGTTACGCCACATTGCATCGGGGACAACAGAAAAAGCAAGTGGGTTCCGATAGAACCCCCCTTTTTAAGAAGTCTAAACAGTTCGGGAACTGTCCAACCCCATCCGTTTCGACCCTCGCGTGCCCCCACCACTCCCCACCAGCCCGTCAAGCGGCTTGAACTCACGCGGGCGGTGGCAAGGTCACAGTCTCTAGTTGAACTGAACCTGAGTTTGTTGCGTCCTGCATTATGCAGAACGAGTCGCCAAGCAGGGTGTCTTATGACATTCCATTAAACCCCTCGCATGACTAGGATCAATGCCTACAGGCGATGTTACACAGTAGTCCAAACGACTTCAAACCTGAATTAGATGAGGGGATTGGTTTCCAGCCATAGCAACTCTTGCATTGGTTCTTGTTCTTCTGCGCAAGTTCTCCTCGGCAGCCACTGTTTTCAGGCCCACAGAGAGGCAAAGGCAGAGAAGGAAAGCGCATCGTGCCATGGAGGCAAAACTAATTTCCGGGTCGTCAGAATGCAAGCTCTTGGGGATGAGAGGCAGTGGAGTATCTTCGCTGCGTTGTGCTACTTCTGCATGAGGGACTGGTCTTGATCATGACAAGCTCATGGAGTGCCTTGAGAAACTTTGCGAAGGCTAGCTTTTTCTTCGTCTGCAGCTCCACCGTCTGCAATGTCTACAAGCTCCTGAACTAACAAGACACCGATGCAACTGCCACCTCTTCCGAGCAGATATCCGCGAGGCGCCGTGTGAAGTTCTGGCCTAGGTAGGGTAGGGGAACGATCTGAATGCAATGCTGGTGGCCTCGGCATCCGAGATCCGGCATCGGCCGGCGACCCGGAAAGGTGAATCGCAGCGAAAATCGGTCTGATCGAAACCACGGTCCTAGCTACTTTCAGAAGGCCTGGCGTAGAGCAATCACTTTTCCGATTGTGGGTGATACCAGTCCGAGACCTGTGGCTGTATCCATTCCGCTCGATTACGACCGGGCACACGAATAGATAGAATAGATAAACAACCATGCAAGCACAAATGCGGGATATCATATACCTTTCATACTTGCTCAGGTTCCAGCACTCTGCAGCCGCCGAGGCAACTGGCGGCACCTTTCCGGCTGGCTCCTGACCAAACATGAGGAGGCAAGGCACCAAGACGAGTTGAAACGGGGCTCCCTTCGCGCTTCTGTCAAATCAACCAGCACCACCCCAACTGGGACTGGGGTTAGCAAGACACCGTGCTGAGCAGTCATCGAACTGAACTGAAGAGTTCGAAGCGCGGTTTGGGATAGCGCGCAGAACACATATATGTAGATCTCGGGTTTGTGCATCTTGGGAAATCGCAAGTCCAAGCAACAGTAGGACCTGCAAGTGTACATGATTAAGCGGAATAAGGATTCTACGCATGCTATCAAGGTCCCACGCATGCCTCGAGGGCAGGTCGAAAGCGAACGACTCGCTTAAAAGCATACTCTGTTGTCGGAACATGAGCATACAGAAATACGCTAGACGAGCAAGTCACAACCAGGAAGGTTCTCTGACAAGCACCGCGAATACGTGCACATGTATGTGTGCATATGTTCGTATGTATGCCTGCATGCATGAAGGCACATATGTCGGCATGTCTGTACGTCCGGGTATATCTGTAAGCACTTGTTTAGACATGCATGTGTATGTATGTATGTATGTATGTATGTATGTGTGTGTGTGTATGTGTGTATATATATATGCTTGTTGATTCAAATTTGTGTGTGTATCTAACTACCTATCTAACTATCCATCCATTCATCTATCTAACTATCTATCTATACACATTGTGTTTGCGATACATTCCTTTGAATTTATGCATGTATGTATGTTTGTTTGTG